CATCACCGGTCAGAGCGAGGGCTCCCCGGCCGTGCCGCTCGCCATCACCGGTCAGAGCGAGGGCTCCCCGGCCGTGCCGCTCGCCATCACCGGTCAGAGCGAGGGCTCCCCGGCCGTGCCGCTCGCCATCACCGGTCAGAGCGAGGGCTCCCCGGCCGTGCCGCTCGCCATCACCGGTCAGAGCGAGGGCTCCCCGGCCGTGCCGCTCGCCATCACCGGTCAGAGCGAGGGCTCCCCGGCCGTGCCGCTCGCCATCACCGGTCAGAGCGAGGGCTCCCCGGCCGTGCCGCTCGCCATCACCGGTCAGAGCGAGGGCTCCCCGGCCGTGCCGCTCGCCATCACCGGTCAGAGCGAGGGCTCCCCGGCCGTGCCGCTCGCCATCACCGGTCAGAGCGAGGGCTCCCCGGCCGTGCCGCTCGCCATCACCGGTCAGAGCGAGGGCTCCCCGGCCGTGCCGCTCGCCATCACCGGTCAGAGCGAGGGCTCCCCGGCCGTGCCGCTCGCCATCACCGGTCAGAGCGAGGGCTCCCCGGCCGTGCCGCTCGCCATCACCGGTCAGAGCGAGGGCTCCCCGGCCGTGCCGCTCGCCATCACCGGTCAGAGCGAGGGCTCCCCGGCCGTGCCGCTCGCCATCACCGGTCAGAGCGAGGGCTCCCCGGCCGTGCCGCTCGCCATCACCGGTCAGAGCGAGGGCTCCCCGGCCGTGCCGCTCGCCATCACCGGTCAGAGCGAGGGCTCCCCGGCCGTGCCGCTCGCCATCACCGGTCAGAGCGAGGGCTCCCCGGCCGTGCCGCTCGCCATCACCGGTCAGAGCGAGGGCTCCCCGGCCGTGCCGCTCGCCATCACCGGTCAGAGCGAGGGCTCCCCGGCCGTGCCGCTCGCCATCACCGGTCAGAGCGAGGGCTCCCCGGCCGTGCCGCTCGCCATCACCGGTCAGAGCGAGGGCTCCCCGGCCGTGCCGCTCGCCATCACCGGTCAGAGCGAGGGCTCCCCGGCCGTGCCGCTCGCCATCACCGGTCAGAGCGAGGGCTCCCCGGCCGTGCCGCTCGCCATCACCGGTCAGAGCGAGGGCTCCCCGGCCGTGCCGCTCGCCATCACCGGTCAGAGCGAGGGCTCCCCGGCCGTGCCGCTCGCCATCACCGGTCAGAGCGAGGGCTCCCCGGCCGTGCCGCTCGCCATCACCGGTCAGAGCGAGGGCTCCCCGGCCGTGCCGCTCGCCATCACCGGTCAGAGCGAGGGCTCCCCGGCCGTGCCGCTCGCCATCACCGGTCAGAGCGAGGGCTCCCCGGCCGTGCCGCTCGCCATCACCGGTCAGAGCGAGGGCTCCCCGGCCGTGCCGCTCGCCATCACCGGTCAGAGCGAGGGCTCCCCGGCCGTGCCGCTCGCCATCACCGGTCAGAGCGAGGGCTCCCCGGCCGTGCCGCTCGCCATCACCGGTCAGAGCGAGGGCTCCCCGGCCGTGCCGCTCGCCATCACCGGTCAGAGCGAGGGCTCCCCGGCCGTGCCGCTCGCCATCACCGGTCAGAGCGAGGGCTCCCCGGCCGTGCCGCTCGCCATCACCGGTCAGAGCGAGGGCTCCCCGGCCGTGCCGCTCGCCATCACCGGTCAGAGCGAGGGCTCCCCGGCCGTGCCGCTCGCCATCACCGGTCAGAGCGAGGGCTCCCCGGCCGTGCCGCTCGCCATCACCGGTCAGAGCGAGGGCTCCCCGGCCGTGCCGCTCGCCATCACCGGTCAGAGCGAGGGCTCCCCGGCCGTGCCGCTCGCCATCACCGGTCAGAGCGAGGGCTCCCCGGCCGTGCCGCTCGCCATCACCGGTCAGAGCGAGGGCTCCCCGGCCGTGCCGCTCGCCATCACCGGTCAGAGCGAGGGCTCCCCGGCCGTGCCGCTCGCCATCACCGGTCAGAGCGAGGGCTCCCCGGCCGTGCCGCTCGCCATCACCGGTCAGAGCGAGGGCTCCCCGGCCGTGCCGCTCGCCATCACCGGTCAGAGCGAGGGCTCCCCGGCCGTGCCGCTCGCCATCACCGGTCAGAGCGAGGGCTCCCCGGCCGTGCCGCTCGCCATCACCGGTCAGAGCGAGGGCTGCTCGGCCGTGCCGCTCACCATCACCAGTCGCCAAACTACCTCTTGGGTTGGTGCGGGGGCAGGTCTCTGCCAACAGGGCACTGTCCATCTTGCAGGCTGGCTGTTGGACAATAGGCGGCTCATTGCATAAGGCAGGCAGAGTGTGGCCCCAGGGAGCCCTAGTCCCCCCCAAATGTCTGAGCAGGAGCCGGAGTACCAGCCCCTCCAGAGCAGGCGAGGCTGAGCGCTCTCACCGCTACTCACTGCAGCCCAACCTGGGGCCTGCTGGACTGTGAACACGCCCAGGATGCCCTGGGCTTGCTCACGGGAAACACCCATCAGCAGCGCCTCCACCAACACCCGGCGGGAGGCTGCTGTGCCACCAGACTTGCGGGGCATAGAGCCAGTGCAGCACCCCGCGGTGGCATTTGGGCCACAGCTCAGAGGGGCTGTCTGCCAAACTCGCTGCAGCGGGCCTGGGTCTGCACCCAGGTGGCCGGCGGCCCGGGGAGAGCAAAGGAAAGGGACTGGCCCCAGAGCACAGCGCAGAGCAGAGCCGGGGAGTGCCTGTCCTATGCCCTGGCAGCCTCCTCCTGCCGGGGCACAGCTCTGGGTGGGGCGGGGGCAGGAGGCAGAGAGTGGCCGTCCAAGCACCGTGGCGTGGAGCGAAACCGCTCAGAGCGGGGCCTTGTCTGCCCCTGTGGCTGGCTTCCCTCTG